AAGTTAAGTATGAAGAGAGATTTACACTTTAATAAAAGTGTTGGTAAATAAAACTTCTATCAAGAATGAAGAAAAGATGAGATTGTGAAAGTTTCTTTGCAAAATTTTTTTTTGATGAGACAGATGAAAATTAATTTGATCAATCAAGAAATTCTTTGTAATAAATGAAATAAAATTTATAATCAAGTAAACTCAATGATTTTCAATAAATATACTCTCTAAATTGCTCTTATAAAATCTTGAAGTTGAATGCAAAAGAGATGTGTATTTATAGAGCAAAAGAGGAGGCTGTAGGAACTTTCGATTGATCACTTTCGGTCAACCAAAAATTTTCGGTTGACCAAATATAACCGTTGGAAATCATACCGTTAGAATTTCGGTTGACCAATTTTTTTTTTTTTTTAAGATTGCCATTTCAAAATCTATTTCATATTATAAATGAAAAGTATTTTTGTGCAAGTGATGGATTAAGAAAATAATTTGAGCTTTATGCACTTGTTAAAGATTGACGAGTTAATACCTTTACATATAAATGTATAATGTCTAATCATCTTGACTTGTCGTTCTTTATACTTGTATCTTGAGTTGCGTCTTTTGCGAGTCTTTAAGTTCCAATTCGATTGTCGTATGCAAATCTCTATCGTCTCGAATGATTTGACTTGAATGCTTAACTTTCACTTTATTTTTCATTTCGAGTCTGATTTATAATTTTGATAGCTTTGAAAGCTTAATCATTCAAATTCAAATGTTAGTAAATAAAATGCCTTACTTGTTATAATTAAAACATTAAGGTTATAATCATCCATAGGTCAACACTGCCCACCCCGGTGGTGGACACCCTGAACTTCTTTTTCGGCTCCTCGATAGCCACCTTTTCCCCCCATCAACAAGGGGTGGACGCCCTTCCTCTTAAGGGGCAGCTTTGTCCTTCACTTGCTTTTCTCCAGCAGATGAGAGCTTCATGCCTTTACGGTCAGCGGTAGAGGTGGCAGCCAAAATGGTGGCCACGTCAGGAGTGGGGATCTTCCTCTTTTGAAATCGCCTGCAGTCCAATGAGGCACAAGGTCAAACGAAAGCAACAAAAGACCAGTACAAATTATTCATTGGAAAAAGTCTTACCGCGTCGAGCCATCAAACCAAGATCTTCGTAAAATCGCTGGGGTACAACCAAACGGATGAAGTTACGTTCTGTGGAGGGTCGATGATAGATCTCGAATAAGATATCCCAGTTGCCCTTATCAATCTCGAAACGCTCAACCAACCCTACAAGAGATTGATCAAGAATCAAAAGCAAGTTCAATATAAGGTAATAAACAAAGTACAGAAAAGACACTCACTGGGTTCGGAGTAGGAGGTCGGAACTTTGACATCGGGGATAGTGTCACCCTTGCACTCCTACCACTTTTCCCTAACCCAGAACCAGGTCTCTTTCCATCCCTTAATAGAGATGGGGAGACCCAACACGAAAGGAGAGTGTCCTCCTCATGGGCACAATGAATACCACCCCTTGGAATCCTGTTTGCCTAAGGACCTAGGCTGGTAGATCGTTTGAAAGATGTGGATGGGCATATCCTTGCCCAAGGAAGTCTCATTCCAAAGGATATATGAACCCACTAGTTGGGCCCAGCCATTAGGGGCTAGTTGGGTGGGGGCCAACCCGTATAGTCGAAAAATGACTCGAAAAAAGGGATGAAGGGGAAGGGGAAGGGGAAGGCCAGATTTCAGAAGGTACTCACTGATGGCGATGCAACCCTGCCTAGGGAGCAAGCTCGCTCATCATGGGAGGGAGATAGAAGTTCGATGTTATAGGGGATCTTATACTTATCTCTAAGGATGGCTAATTGGGTTGGGTCGACACTAGAACGGATTTTGGTTGCCCCCCAGCCCATACTGTCACCACCCCTGACAACGTCCCCAGATATAGAGGCACCTCGGCCTGCCTCAACAGATCTCCTAAGGTCGACCGTACTGGTTATCTGGACTCCTAATTCCTTAGCCACCTTGGTCACATCTACATCGTCCCCAAAAGAAGCCATAAATGCAAAGAATACCAAAAAATTCGAGAAATCAATTACTTACTGGTCAAGGAAGGATTCATAGGAGCATAATTGAAGGGAAAAGAAGGATGCTCAAAGGAATTTCAAAAAGAAAAACTTGAAGGAGTTAGTAAACTTGAGAGAAAAGAATGCTAAGATTCGTGCAAAAGGTTGAAAATGAATTCTCTCTAAGATTCTTGCCTTTTATAGGCAAACCCGCTCAACCATGGTCGTTGGATCTCGATCCGCGCCATCCAACCATTGCTCAACAAGTATTAACCCGAACCACCCAGACATCTGACGCTTCGTCTTCAAAGGCCCAGATTTGAACGTTGCTTGCACGTGCCCTTACGTATCTGAGTCTTGTCAAGAAGCATGGGGAAACAATCATCATTACGCATTAAAAACGACGTCTATTGAGTTTATTGGAAGTTGCATAGCCCCAGCTGTCTTTCTTGGGAAGGCACCACGACATCAAATCATTGGGGCTCCATAATTTAAAATGCTTCGTATTTATCAGAATCATTGAGAATGTAATATACCCTCGTGGTTGTCAAAAATCGAGGTTATTTAAAGCATGAGATGCTATCCGCTTCAGGATGTACGAAAACACTTCAAAATAGAGGATGGAGCCTCGGTACCTAGGAACGTCGGAAAATCAATCAGACGAAGCTCTGAGAGAGCATATTATTATTTTGAAACTCTACCTCAAGATTACTTTCAAGTCCACATATTACATAAATAATAATGCCTAGACTTGGGGGACTATTGTTACCCCTCGATTCCGAGGTCAAAAGAAGCAAAGCCACGTAGCTCGCCATGTGGGCACAACTATCAACGGAAAGTCAAAAGGAGGTCCAACAAGTCATGTGGCAACTGGCTGAGGTCCTTCATCCAGTATCCTAACCCCTCACACTGTAATAAGGTCCACCCTGAAGCACCTCTACAAAGACGAGGCACAATAACAAATCGTGGCCCTCTTAAGTTGTCTGAGGCTCTCCAGTCCGATGTTGCCTCATGTAATGGATTTGAAGATCTCTTAGGAATGATTGCTGTGACATTTGTAATAAAGTGTGCCAGAATGTTAGTGTGTCACCTAAAAATAGAACAGCCCGCCCTCTGGAGAACATTGATTGCATAGATGGGATAGTGACGTGAAGCTTCGGCATGGAGGATGTTGCCACATGGTTCTGATCCAACGGTCACCACGTCGGGAAAAACTTGTATAAATAGCTTCAATTTGTATAAACAAAGGGGGATGGATTGATAGGAAAACGAGAAAAACATATTTTTATACAAATACTTGAAATCTTACAAAAGAGAGAAAACACATCTACTTATCATATCTATCCCACAAAAATGATGTATATTCGGGATTATCATCTTGTTTAAAGGCGATCATTGATAGCGTGATTGTCCTCGAATCATATCGCCGGAACCCGAACATTTTTGTCTTTCGCCGTAAAGTGCCTCCCACGTTTATTTCAGCCAAACTACCGTTCTTATTCCGGTAGAAACGTGTCGGATCCGTACTTGACATGACGAGTGTAGACCCGACATCTGTTGAGTTCATTTTTTGGGGTCAACATACTTTATTCATTGAGTGGAATGAATATCTTCTCCTCCATGAGAATCAAGATTAACAGAGGACAACCCCAGCTGACTGTCTATAATATATATTTACAGTACTATTTATATATAAAGGGAAAAAGGATAGAAAATGATCTCCGAGAGGGGCTGAAAGAAAGCGAGCTGAGATTCTCTACAAGAAAAATATTGGAGATAGGGTACGTGTATAATGGACCAGAAAAAAGGACAAACTTCCAAGAAGATAAATACTATTACATGATTTTCTCTGATTTGGAAATGTAACTTAATGGAAGTTCGTTGAGAATGTTTGCCAAGCTTAATAATAATCCAAACTTACATTTTAAGTAAATTCGGTTGTCAAACATATTTGAATACGATGACAAAGTAAGTAACTTATTTCAAGTTTAAACAACTAAAAATTATTCCCTAGAAGTGAACTTATAAATTTTTTAAGCTCAGTCAACTACCTGGGGGAATGCAAAAGCTCCAGTTATAGCTAGTGATTCATTTGGTCACAGCCAGTTGCTGCTGATGTATTTAACAGTAAGTGAAATGAATGGTAGAGCAGAGCACTGCCACAGTCATTATTTTCTTCCAACGCTGCTTGTCCATTATCATATACAGAGTACCATTGGCAATAAATTATCCCAACTCTTTACAAAATTATAAAATTCCCAGATATATAAACTGCAGCTCAAAATGAAACTTGAGTCATTCCTGTAAGAATTTGTTGATGTCACACAAACCAGTGAGATAAATTTCATGGCAATTATATTACAGAATCCATGCATGGAAATTGGATAGTAATAAGTGAAAAAAGAGCTAATGAAAGCAATCCATGGGCATAATGAAGTAGAAAGTACTTGTTTTCACCTAGAGTAAGATAGTGACTGATCCATAATATAAGTACAAATTCCACTTGATACTAGTTAGGTTTTGGCATGAAGCCATCCATGGATTTAAATATAAGTACAAAAGAGAAAGGACTAAGACCTAGCTTCGAGAATTGTATATGGAGAAGAACGAGAAGTGTTAAAAAGTCACACGGAAATACTACCTTCATTATATAATCGTAAGCTGAAAATCATTTATTGAACTGAATACATGGCACCTCTAATTTATCCATCTTAACTAGACCCTTTACTCAAATCCGAAGCTTACAAAATCCTGTGCGTAATCCGTGAGAAATTAATTGTAAAACGCTTTTAATTTCCTCAATGAAGTATCGTAAGCTCCATGGCCCAATCTCATCCCACATTGTTGCAACTGTAGAACCCTACTCCACCCAAACATTTGTAATGCCACAAAGTGGATTGGGTTTTGGGCCAGACTCCAGATTGAGATAACAACTGAGAAATATGGCCCTTCTTAAAACTAAGTGGGAACAGACCCGGTATAATTTGGTGATATCTGCAAAATAAAGAGTCCCATGATAATGATCAACATTACCAACTGCAAGAAGAAACATGCAATGTACTTCCACACCCTCTTCTGCAGTGTCGTGTTCTCAACAGCACTAACAATATCTTCACAATAATTCTCCAAATTCTCAGCTTCTTTATTAAGTGTTGCGGCCTTGTTTTCTGCATCTTCAAGCCTGTTCAGCATCTGAGCTTGCTTAGAAGCCAGAGTTTTCTGTTTTTCTAAAAGACTCTGTACATCCACTACAATCTTCGACTTTTGGATCATTCTTGATGTTATAAAATATTCAACTTCAGCTTCAATCCTTCGCTTAAAGAGGTCCTCAAGTGCTGCTTCTATACCAGAACTAAACGACATCCAGAAAACTTAACTTCAATCATTCGCGTAAAAGAGGGCCTCAAGTGCTGCTTCTATGTCTCTTTTCTCCTTTGCTTCTTCTAGTGACTTACTATTTAAAATTGTTTCAGGTTGACTTTGCTTGGCTTTTTTCTTGTTGAGGGCATCGACCCCAGATTGCAACTGTTCGGCAGAGTTTGTTTGATAGAGTTCTGGACCGGTGGAAGTATACTCTGAAGGTAAGTCTTGAATTGAATCATCAACATGAAAATCTTCCTTTCCAATTTCCCTAAATTTTTTAACCTCTGCAGAGATATATAGAACCATTTAGTTAAAGAAATGCAGCCCATGAAAAACGAGCGTGACAAACAATTTTGCTAAATAGTCAAGGAATTTTGCTGATCTACATAAGATGAATACAACAGGAGCTTTAGAACTATATATTCATCTCCCCTGCAAAAGTTATATGTGTAGCGCTGAACAATATAGAACCCTTTAGTTGAGGTTAAACAACTACATATTTTATTCAATTACAAAAAATAAGGTAACAGCAATATTGAACAAGTAGAATAGTATAGTTAATTTCCATCCTTCCACTTGAAATACATAGACAAAGAACATCATTACTGAACCTATATTCACAGCGTAGAGTACAGTGTTAAATTAGCCTCCGTTTTGGGAGAATTTATAACCAGTTTAATTTATAAATAGATAGAAATGAGTGGTGGATATTACTCGTGGATCCATTGGAATGTGTGGTTGAAAATGAAGTTTGATCATTTATAAATGATATAAAAATTTTGCCAAACAGAAATACAAAGAAAAAACGGAAGGAACTTGCACAAAAATCTGTACTCACAATAACTGAAAAATAAAGATCCCTCAAAAAGCCTTCTTGAACTAACTATTCAGAGATAACATCACAACCATAGGATAAATTTGATGATACAAATGTACCATGAAAGAAAAATTTGACCCCAAAGTATTCGAATGTTTGAATTTCTAACCTTCAGATAAACAACATGAAAGAAAATACAAAATTCGCATTTTTTATATCCACAAAACTTAGAATGCTCACAATTTTACATCCCTCTACACGTTTCAAAAGTTTTACCTAGATGAAATTAAAGATCATTACAACTCTCAAACCCCCTTTACAAAAAAAAATAATAATAATCAGGCTATTTAAAACCACCACAAGTTTACTGAAATTTATAATTCCAAAAATAGAACACACGGAAAGTTATTGTACTAACGATCTAGTCATTACACAGCAAAAGTTTAGTAATACGTAAGAAAAAGAAACTACTTTTTCACACCATATTATTGTCAAATAGGGAAATGTCAGATGGACCGACCTCTTTTTAGTGCTTCTCGTGCAGATTGAAGCGCAGAGAGAGATTCAACCAGAGAATCGTGATCAGCTGCAGAGCCAGAGTTCTCACTTCTTTCTTCTTTAACCTCCAACGATGGATCATCGCCATTTTCTGCATCATAATCAACTGAACTTCCATTTTGCATCCCATTGCTTATTGCAGAGTAAGTTCCTTTCATGAAGGAAAAGTTCGGGCTTCGCGAGTCAGATTCCACGCTGGAATGGGAGTTTTCTTTCTCGATTTTGGCCCGGTCCTCTCTAGCCTTCTTACTGGTGTCCATGTGACCCTTTCTCTGCTGATCACGCTGCACAGAGTTACTCAAATTCTTCGCACTCAGACTCCTCGTCCTGATTTTATCTTGCGGAATTCCTGCAACCTTGGACATCTCATACCTTGAGTTTGGAGCACTGACCGCTGTGGATGACTTGCTACTCAGATCCCCACTGTTTTCTGAATCCATTCTTGCAAAAAGGGTAGGTCCAATCACCAATCCAGAATCACCAAGCACAACAAAACCGTTGAAATTCCTCTCTGCATTAGTGGATGAAACATACCCCTTGTTCTTTTGCTTCATCTCCTCAGAAAATTGCATCCGTTTGCTTGAATTTGCACCTGGATTAGGCAAACTCTCTGTCAACATCTTGCCAGTATCAACTATATTATCCCCTCCCTTGTTGGCATCTCTCTTGATCCTTCTCCATTTCCTCAACCCATTCCCTTTTATCATCACAGGGGATGGAGGCACTTGTGATGTCACCTCAAGGGTAGGCGAATTAACTTCAATTCTTTTTCCCTTCATCCCATCCAAAAACTCATTCTTATCATTAGTTTGCACCACGCAGGACTCGTTGTTATGTATCTTGGTTTCATCAACATTACCCAAGTTTACCGAGGCAGAAATAGTCCTAGTTTCCCCATTAACTTCCCCAGATTCCAGGACGGAAAACTCACTTTCCACATCCATTTACGCAACAATTCTACGGATTTTCCTACACTTCAAATTTATAACAAATTTATAAAGATCCCAAAAAAAAAAAAAAAATTAAGATCAAGATCGGGAAAAAGTTACTATCTTTCCTGCTCATGGGACTATACCAATCATCGAAAGATCTCCAGAACATTGACTTAGTTCCCAGTTGGATTAAATTCCAATTATTTCCCCGGGAACTCAATTCAATCCAATTCGAGAAGAAAGCAGAAGCAATAAAGTGGAGAGCGAAAGAAGCAATACTTGTAAATTTTCACAGGAATTTAGTTCAATGTTTTGTTGCATTTATTTTCCACTAAAAATGTTAATTTTTCACTCGTTTCATTACTATTTTTTTTCATGAAAAATATTTTTCACCTTTTAAAAATATGCTTAATTTTCCATATTTTTAAGAAAAATATTTTGTTTGGAAGAGTATAGGTCTCAAAATAAGGAATATATCAATCAAACATACTAGTAAAAATTAATACATCTTACCTTGAGCTCCACAAATCAGCCTAAAAAATTTGGGCAAATAATTTAGGAAAATGGAAATGGAAACCCAGATTTTGGTTAGAGCTGGAATTTATGGCGTCGAAAAAATATATATCAATTTATAAGAATTTGAATTATTCTTCTTGATAAGATTGACGTTTTAGATGGAATCTCAAATCTTATCATGGTATCAGAGCCTATTAAATTTCAACAAATAATTCGATCCGATTAAGTATACGGATCTTGCGGGACAATTAAAGAATAAAATTTCACATCGATTAAAAATGAAATATATCAATTTAAAAGAATTTGGATTATTTTTTTTAATAAGTTCGACCTTTTAAATTAGAACACCAAATCTTTACAAAATTATTAGTATTTGAATAACTATTCAATTTTATATGGAGGAAATTAATAAGTGATTGGCCCACAAGGACAAACAGTCGTTGATGCTGACTGAGTGGCTGCTGATGCGGACAGCACATGACGCCACGTCGCCACCCACTGCCGGTCAAGATTGATACTTTCTTAACAGCCTTCTACTCGAACGGGGAGGGGGTGATTTTTTTGACAACCTCTCACACATCGAGAGGGTAGATGATTTTTTTTTTCTTAATCACAGTGAGGTCCACTACTGCGAGAGGTTATCAACCTTTTCGATCAACCCTTTCCTGTACAAATGGAAAAAACTGCTTTTTTAATTCTGCCCCCTTTTTCCTACTATTAGGAAATATACTGCAAAAAACTATTTCAGAAAAACTTGGGTGTTCCCATGAAATAGTATATTTTTCATTGGGAAAATTATAGCAGCGGTCCCTAACAATTTATTTTTTTTGCAAACTTTATCTTAATCTTTAATTTATATCAACGAATGTCCCTAACCTTTCAGATATATGCATCAGAGTCCATTTAACCGTTAGTTAATCAAAAAATGTGAATTTTGACTAAATTAGAAAGGGCAAATTGGTAACTTGATAATTACCATATTAAATAAATGAACTAAAAAAACCAAAATCATGGAAAAAAAAACCAAAAAAATTAAGAAAATAAATAAAAAAAGGGGTTTCTTGTTCAGCCGCCTCGTCTCGTCGCGCTGCCACTAGCATCGCCACCTATAGTCAATACCACCGCTAGAAATCCAATCACACACTACTATTGACAACATCTTCTCACACCTATCGCCAAAAATCCAATCACACGCCCATCGTCATTCTACTCAATCAGTTTTTACTGACTCTTGTAAGATTATATTACAAAACTTGTCATTTTGTTTGATTTCTATTTTCTTCTAGTCACACACCTATCGTCGGTAGAGGATAAGAACTTGTCGTTTTCTTCTATTTCCTTCGCAAATAAAATTAGTCTTGAAACTAAAACGTCGTTTTCAATGATTTCCAGCCTCAAAATTTTAAAAATCAACATATCAATTTACAAAAATGTTGAGGTGGGTTTTTGGTTTTGGGTGTAGGCTTGAGGTGGTGGTGACGATGTAAGTGTTATGCCCTATATCCAATCAACTTTGGAACTTTATATATATATTCGATGCATATATATGTCAATATCTATTATTTAATTGAATTAATATTCTAATAAATTAAATAACTAAATTCGTAGATTCAAGTTTTGGTGATTTGTTAATCACAAGGAGTTGTGATTGTGAGATACAAATTACATATGACTTAATCTTAAATCGTC